CCAATTAAAAAATGGGCAGAGGAGCTGAATAGACAGTTCTCCAAAGAAGAAATTCAGATGGGCAACAGACACATGAAAAGATGCTCCACATCGCTAATCATCAGAGAAAAGCAAATTAAAACCAGAATGAGATATCACCTCACACCAGTAAGGATAGCCATCATCAGAAAAACAAACAACAAATGTTGGCGAGGTTGTGGAGAAAGGGGAACTGTTGGTGGGAATGTAAACTAGTTCAACCATTGTGGAAAGCAGTATGGAGGTTCCTCAAAATGCTAAAAATTGAAATACCATTTGACCCAGGAATTCCACTCCTAGGAATTTACCCTAAGAATGCAGCACTCCAGTTTGAAAAAGACAGATGCACCCCTATGTTTACAGCTGCACTACTTACAATAGCCAAGATATGGAAGCAACCTAAATGTCCATCAGTAGATGAATGGATAAAGAAGATGTGGTACATATACACAATGGAATATTACTCAGCCATAACAAAAAACAGATCATACCATTCACAACAACATGGATGGAGCTAGAGGGTATTATGCTCAGTGAAATAAACCAGGTGGAGGAGGACAAGTACCAAATGATTTCACTCATATGTAGAGTATAAGAACAAAGGAAAACTGACGGAACAAAACAGCAGCAGAATCACAGAACCCAAGAATGGACTAACAGTTATCAAAGGGAAAGGGACTGGGGACGATGGGTGGGAAGGGAGGGGTAAGGGCGGAGAAAAAGAAAGAGGGCATTACGATTAGCATGTATAGTGCATGGGGGGCACAGGGAGGGCTGTGCAACACAGATAAGACAAGTAGTGATTTTATAGCATCTTACTACGCAGATGGACAGTGACTGTGAAGGGCTATGTGGGGGGACTTGGTGAAGGGGGGAACCTAGTAAACATAATGTTCTTTCTGTAATTATACATTAATGATAACAAAATTAAAAATTAAAAAATAAAAATAAAAAACCAAGCCACAAACCAGCATAAAGAATACAAGCAGAAATAACTTATCATATCCATCTTGTTCCTAACAAAGTTTCCAGTTGTGGGCAAACTACTTCATGTCCAATCACATCTGGAAATACATGGACAGAGAACTGAAGACAAAATACACCCCTATAATAAGAACAACCTTCCTCTAAACTAATTTTACTGTATCACAGAATAGGTACTGCCTCTGCTTGGACCAGATGTAATACAGTTTACTCAGTGATGGAAAGAATGTGGAAGCCTCCCGGGGTGCTTTGATTTGGCACTGGAAAGCCCCTCTGGACTTTAGGCAGCCCTATACGAGGGAGTGAGCTTAAGAGAACACTGCTTTCCCCTATTACTGGGGAACAGTCAGAAAACTGCTTTGACCTCAATGTAGCCCCTTGTCAATTTGCTATAACATGTCTGGTGCCTTGGGTAAAAGGCTATAGTGAATTACACTCTTCTTCTGATATAACATTTTCTCCTGTCAGCAACTATACGGTGAGCCTTTTCCAAAGTTAAGATGTGAGCCAACCTCCTTGGGCATCTTGCCCAGACCCCCCACTCTGTGGGTAAGCAGCAACCTGTGTTGGTAAGAAAGCTGTCTGGAGTTAAGAGTCCAGGCTGTGGTCATGTAACTCACCTGTGAGAATCAAACCCACAGAGCTGAAGATGCTAAACACAGGCTCTAAGCAGAGGTACCCCCAGAGAAACCTCATATTGTGCCTCCCCCCTTTTTTTCTTCTGTGTACAGCAAATAACCTACCTTGAGGTCATAAAGGAGCTTGAAGCTGCTGGGTGCCTGTGCTGCTCTCTGGACGGCCTGAGCCAGGGCTAAGGCGCCCTTGCCCCCTTCTGCCCAGTGAGTGCACTTCACAGCCTCAAAAGCCCCGTGTTCTTTGGCAAGGCGGTTGACGAGGTCCAGCTCTGCCTCCGTGTCTGTCCTGTAAAGGCAGCACCTCATGTTAATGCACTGATGGTGGCTGGAGAGGGCAGAATCTGTCTGGTTTTTGCCATGAAAACCCATGTGAATTACCCACAGATAGATGGACATTAATCAAGTAACACTGCCTGGGTTTGAATCCTGCTCTACAATTTACTCTCTGGGTGACTGTTAGACAGTTACTTAATCTTTATGTGCCTTGGTTCCCACGTGGGTCGAATGGGAATAATCACAGCACATATTTAATGGGGATGTCAGGAGGCTTAGACAGCAAAAACATGCAAAGTACTTGACCACTCCAGGCACATCACAGAATCAATACACACTAGCTTTTTAAAATTCTGCTTCTCATTCTGTTGTGGTTAGGACATTATAAGAAGACCAAAACCAGCATTACAATACCTAAACAATCCACACAGGTTTCTCATGCATGAATACTTTCAGCTCAATTCATTTGACTCTCAAGACAACATCCCACCAGGCCTAGTGAAATAATGGAACTCTGCAGGGTTTTAAGCTTCTGTTAGCACAGAAGGCCTCTAGAGACCAAAAAGGACATTTAACTTCAGGCCTGTCAGTTATCCAACTTCACTCCGTGGAGACTGAGGAGTCCCACAGGAGCCCAAACCGACCCTGGAGCCCCAGCGGGTGAGGCGACAAGCCTGCCGTTCAGGTGCCTGTCTCGTCACAGGCACTCGTTAATGGCTGCTGACAAACAGGTTTCATAACCAATAGCAGTAACTGAAGAACAAAATAAACGTAAGCCCAGGTGTTGTGTGGTAAGCTCCGGCAGATGTTTTCTGACTATCCCCGCAGCCCCCTTGACTCTTTCATTTTGTACTCACTTGAATGCATTCATGGCCACTACTACTGGCACTCCAAACAGTCTGGCATTTTCAATCTGTTTCTTCAAGTTGCTGAAGCCTTTTTCAACCAGCTCTAGGTTCTATAAAAACAACAGTGACAGGTCCAAGAGGTCATAGAGAGAGGAGCTAGTTGCAGGTTCTCAATACAGATTTTACGTACTCACATGGTATAATGGTACCAGCTGACTGTTTTCAGCATGGCACAGACCCCTCCATCGGAAGGCAGAGCCCAGCACAGTGCCTATCATTCATTATACAGCAGCCACAGGCACAGTCAGAATGCATGAAGTAATCAGTGATGCTTTCAAAGCATTTTTTCAAAAAAATATTCTCTTTTACCGACATTCTGTATGGGGCAATTCTGTTTTAACGAATCTGACCATGAAACTGTGCTAGGGATAACAAAACAAGATAGAGACCATCTTTAAGAATCAAAAACTATGACATTCAAAAGGAAAGTAACATGGAAACATACTTTTAAATATGTTTACTTCAACCACTACAAATCTCCTTCAGCAGGGGACTGGGCCAATGAACTGGAGTAATGTACACTCAATAAGTACGTACTAAGCAGATGTTATGAAAAGTGAGATACTCTGTATTAACATCAAACCTGTCAAAGATGTACTAGCCTTGCAAAACTATGGAGGGCTTAATTCACTGCACTTTTTGGACAAATAAAAAAATACGTGTGTATTCATAAAACTTATTTAAATGTTGAGAAATATGCACCAAACTGTTAAGGACATAAGTCATATATATATTCTTATATTGTTTATTTTTACAAAGAGTATGTTACTATTATAAGCTTAAAAACACATTATTTTAAAAATAAACATAATAATCTTACATAAAAATATATACACTGGATCATGAGCAAAAACCAGCTGTAATACCTCCTGGTCTGTGTATTCCATAAAAGAGCAGGAAAAAAATGTAAGATGAAGGTAGAGAACAACTGACAGTAGGATTTAGTTGAAATTCTAAAGAGTACTGCTAATTTTTTACCTCTAGTCACATGAAAACCAATTAATATGTAAGACTGATTGAGAACAGTTTTAAATAAGTACGATTTCTTAAATGAAGACACCAGCTGGGCCAGTGAGGGGCAGTCACTCTAATTAGACGCAGGAAAGGCTGTGGGGTGGCAGGAGGGCCAGAACTGTGAATTCCCCTCCTACGCGTGAATCAGCCAAATGACCATAAAAGGCAAATCATAACTCAGAAGACAGGCAGACTCAAGGCACCAACAATTCTTTTCTAGCTGCTTTTGAAATACTTCATTTGGGGCCTAAGCAGTGACCCTGTATTGCTAGATGATTTAAAAGCCCCCAAAAAGGCAAGAAAATTGAATTAACAGTGACAGCAGCTGACCTTAACATCTCATGGGAGTGCCTGACGCTCCTATAACCCCACTAAACAGGCTCTGAATATGTTTTTTTGACAGTAAGCGATATAAATATGAAAAGACTAGAGCCCACAATTCTTTGAGATTCTGCTTGACACCATAAACCAAATCAGCTTACGGGAATTTTATCTAGGAAAACAATCAGGATCCTAACCTTATCTTGTCCTTTTAACATGGCTTTAAGTCCGCCATATTAAAGGTTCAAGAGGAAAAGATATTTCACAAAACTTGCTTCTGATATGAATGGCATTTGGGAATCAACCAGCCAAAGCAGCGAAGACAACGGAAGGAAACTTCCTTAATCTAGTGCAGGGATTCTCAACCTCAGCACTACTAAGTCAAATCAGTCTTCATACTGGGGACTGTCCTGCACACTGTAGGATGGTTAGTAGCATCGCTGACCTCTACCTACTAGGTGCCAGCTCTACCCTCCATCCCAAGTTGTTAAGAGTCAAAAGTGTCTCCACTAACAAATGTCCCCTAGGGGAAAGTTGTTCCCAGTTAAGAACCAGCCACTCGTCTAGGGCAGTAGTTTTACTGACATCCTATATGGGGCCATTCTGTTTTATGAGGCATGTCTTCCCTGTGTCATTTCATGAGTTTTCAGCACACAGCAGGCCGTTTAGCATCTCTTGCTCCCACGAATGACCCTAGATCATCCTGATACCCCCACTCATTTCCAGATGGGTTGGGCTGAAAAATGCTGATTCACAACGTGGTGCTCTCTAGGACAAGTAATTAGAAACGACTGCAGTTACCTCCTCTATGTAAGCCTTCGGAAGAGGTAGTCCGGCAGTAACCTGGAAGGAAAGGAAGCAAGGTCAGAGACATATTCCATCTGCAATTAGATTGTAGCCCAAAACGGTTCTTGCCATGGGTGAAAGGCCAGAAGCTGTGTGCTTGGGGGGATGTACAGCATTACAATGTTGTTTCCTGCCCTAAGGATTGAGGACATACGCTCAATCCTACAACACAGAACAAAAGTGACTGCACTGAGCACAGTGGGAGACCTTTGTGGATACAGCAAAGCGAGAAGGGCAGATCTCTGAAGGCACAGGGAAGGATAAGTCTGCTCTAGGCAGGAGCAGTAACCTCCGTGAGTGAAGCACACAGCAGTGGGGGTGGGAGAAAAGGTGAGTGAAGGGAAAAAAACAGCTTGTCAGCCCCACAAAGGCCACCCTGATATGTCTGCCAACAGAGTGTGTGATGAGCCGGGTGATGGGTTAATGAGCTGGTCCAGAGCCAACCCAGGCCTCTCCAGAGCTTAACTACGGTACCTGACCAATACAAACAGGAGGGAAACAACACACAAGGATTTCCTTCCCCTTCTAGAGCACATTTATAGCTGTCAAAATCCTAAGCATGAGTACACTGTCATGGGGGTGCCTGGTGGCTTGGCACAGGGATGAGCATGGGGGTGAGGTGCTGATTCCAGGGACTCCACTCTGGGCAATGGAGGATGATGAAAACGCCTTCAGCTTTTCATTGGTCTGCTCCCATTTCTCAGAGAGCCTATGGTGCTCCAGCTCCAAAAGGGGCCCCGCAGAGGCAGAGGAGGAAGCAGGGGGCCGCCATGGTCTGGGTCTGACACACAGCTCCCTGCGGCAACATGAGCAGCAGGCCTGGCTCCGTGACAGAGCTGCATGTGTCAGGCCCCTCTCCGTGTGCCCAGGTTAAGTGCTGGACATTGTGTTTCAGACCATGAGATCAGGAGGAAAGGAGAGGAGGTGCAGTGGTGTGAGAGATGGTAAGGGGGTGTAAGAGAGAGACGTTGGTTATGATGGGGAAGAAACAGGGATTCCATCCTGCACTGCTAGCAGAGAGGGGCATCCTGGGTAGGAGCCCCCTGGGTGCCTTCGGGACAAGTAAGCCTGGGGAGGTATGCGAGGATTGTGTGCCGTAGCAGTATTTCTGGGACCTAATCCTTTCACACGGTCCATGAGGTCAAGACTATTTCTCCATAACAATTCTAAGATATTATGACTCTTTTTACTCTCATTCTCTCATGAGTGTATAATGGACTTTTCCAAAGGTTATGTGACGTGTATCACAACAGATCGAATGCAGAAGATGAGAATCCAGGGATCTTCAATTAAGCTAGATACTGAAGAGATCTCAAAAAATGAACAATGCTTAAATTTTGTTTTGGAAAATAGACTACGTTTTCATTTACAAAAATGAAATCTGTAAAAAACAGTTAATCTGTAACTCATTTTTAATTCCTAATATAGTAACTATCAATAGATTGACCCCACCTAAACAAGTTCTTCCAGACCCACAATAATTTTGAAGAGAGTAAAGTTCTGAGACCAAAATGCTTGAGAACTGCTGTATCAGGACTAACCCTGATCACTGTGCTAAGAAACATTGATTCTGTAGGTGAGGGAGGCCTTATGTCTTAAGTTATAAGAATCCTCCTATCCTCATGGATGATATGAACTTAATATTTCTTCAAGTAATTTCTGAAAACCTGCACTGTAACTTCACATGTAGGTGCCAAAGAAAAGGTGTTAAAATAATAGGCGAAAAGTACAATTTCTAATCAGCAGGAATTCGGGAAAACACTAAGTTCAGGCTGGTGTTGAAGGAAAGCTAGTCCTAACCTGTTTCTATTACCCAAAGGCAGGCCTATCTACCTTCCCACTCCAGGCTAGTCCCCCAGCGTGCACCTCCCAAGGGGCTGACCTCTGTCTCAGAGAAATAGTTTGGTTGACTGGCTGCCAGTGCCACTATTTAGAGGGAAAATGGGACTCTGATTAAAAAGAACAGTCTGAACATAAATGAGTTTTTTGTGGGTAGAGCCAAGCACAATGCACTTGGAGGAGTTTAGATATTACCAGATGTATTCCTCAGAAAGGCAGGCCTCCAAGCCAATTTCAGCCCTCTTAAAATGCAGATGGCTGACAGTGTCTGTGGGCGCTAAGGCGGTCAGCACAAGCCTGCCCCAACACCCCTTGCTCCAGGTGCCCTGTCCATCATGAGGATAAGGGCAGCTTAATGAAGAAACAGGTGCAAGTCATCAAACTTCTCTGTAGCCTTCAGAACAATCCTGAGAATCAGACTCTTCCACTCTTGACCCTTACCGTGGGGCCGCCTCCATGCATTTTAAGAGCCCTGACTGTGGCGACAAGCACCACCACATGAGGACAGAGACCCGAATACCGGCATTTGATGTTAAAAAACTTTTCCATTCCAATGTCTGCTCCGAATCCTGCTTCAGTCACTGTAAGCAAGGAGAAAAGAACTGTAAATATGCCGTCCCAACTGCCCTGGTAAGAAAAACAGTCTAGTCACTGAATTTGCAGAAATACTCACCTACAAACCCTTCAGGGCCAACAAGCTTGAGAGCAATCCGGTCTGCAATGATGGAGGAATTCCCATGTGCAATGTTGGCAAATGGTCCAGCATGAACAAATACTGGGGTGCCCTGTGCAAATCAAGACATCATGAATGAAGCTGCTAATCCTGCTTCAAAATGGGACCACACAGTCAAGGGTACCAAAATTAGCTGGAATCCAAAAGAAAAAGACTTCCCAAAGGGAAAATACCAAGCTGCCTCTTTCGTTCTGTAACGTCCCAATCACAACTTTGAGAAGAATAGAAAGACAGACATGAGCAAGTAGAGAAACTCTATCTCCCAAGAAAGTATGGTTTATGCCCACTCTGCTCTGAACATAGAAAGCCAGTTCAGGAAGGCAAAAGTCACTCTGCTCACCTCTAATGTCTGCATGAGATTAGGCTTGATTGCATCCTTCATGAGCACTGTCAATGCGCCACTCACTCCCTACAAAACAATGGCATGAAGTGTTGATTCTTACCAGCAAGAAGCCCAACCTTTTGAAACCGAAATTCTCAGGTATTCTCAGGTATTCCTTTTTTAGCCATCTTGGACCAATTAGTAATTTCACCTGAAATAGACCATCCATCCACTTATTTTTTGTGGATATACTATGAAGTTACGAGTTATTTTAAGCAGGGAGAATAGACGAGTAAAAATGCCATTCACATGAAATTTCAGGAAAAACATGTAAGTCAGAAACAAGTATCTCAATCAAGCTCTCTTGCTGACTGAAGAGGCGAATCTATTTCAGACTAGTTTACAGCAGGGAAATGCTAGTTCTTAGAGTACTGAATTATTTGTAACTTTGGTGTCTGAGCAGAAATGACTATATACCAAATTCAATATGTATTTTCCAAAGCTCAATCTGAAAATTTACGCAGAGGTTCAAAAACAACTCTTAAATTTATCAAGTCCCTTTTTTAAGTCATCCAACCATACCTGAACGAACTGGTAGCAAAGTGAGGTAAAGTTACGGATCTCA